CCCCCCCCCAACCTATCAACCCTAAACAGCCGGGAGAAGTAAAGGGGTCTGTGACCCCTCACTCCAACCTAGGGTTGGGGGTTGGAAGGGAGGAGAGGCTTTTTTTTTTTTTAATAGGTTTTATTTTTCCAGGTTTTTGTTTGTTTGTTTTTTCAGAACCAGGGTTTCTTTGTGCAAGCTTAGCTGTCTGGGACCCTCTTTATAGACCAGGCTGGCCTCGAACTCAAACTCACACAGATCCTTCTGCCTCTACCTCCCCGAGTGCTGGGATTACAGGCGAGGGCCACTGCGCCTGGTAGAAGGGAGGGCTTTAAGGGACCCCAATAAAATAGAGTTTAAAAAATGAGCACTAGGGAACTCAGAGATCTGTCTCCTTCTGGCCAGAAGTGTAACTCACTGTGAGTTACAGGCAGTTGTGAGCTGCCTTGCGTGGGTGCTGGGGATTGAATCCCCTTCCTCTGCAAGAGCAACACCAAATGCTTTGAACTGCTGAGCCATCTCTACAGCCCTCATTCTGTTCAAAAGCAGGTACTTGGCTCTAGCTGTTCCCTTATGAAATAATGCAAACGAATTCAGAATTTTAGACTTGGGAATTTTTGAAAAAAAAAAAAAAAACATTCAGAAATCTAGTTTTGCACGAGAATTCTGCTGTGCTCATGTTAAATGCACGTAACTCAGTTTTGATCAGCGTATGGATGTTGCAGTAGTTCTGAATCTGAGCTCTGAACTGAGTTTGAATTCTGGCTCTATTATTTATCTGCTGTGCATAGTTGAGTTCAAGAAATATCAGCTATGCTGGGCGGTGGTGGTACATGCCTTGGGAGGCAGAGACACGTGGATCGTTTTGAGTTCGAGGCCACCCTGGTCTACAGTGAATGTGGTGTACAAACAAACAAACAAACATATCAAATATGTGTTTTTTCTATAAAACTTGTGTTTTGGACATGGAATTAAAATCTTTTTAATTTCTCTCTCCTTGTCAGATTTTTAAAAACTATTTTTAAAATTTTTTATTTTTATTAATTACAATTTATTCATTTTGTATCCCCCGTATAGCTCCCTCCCTCCTCCCCTCCTTGTCAGATTTTTATGCCAATTTTTTATTCCTCCCTACTCTGTAAAACCTTTGTTTACACAAAAGCCCATTACTCTGTTCTAGGAATTTGATGGCCTGGATCAATGACCAGTGCTTGAAGCAGTGACTCCATTCCCCTTCCTCCCTTATTTCCTGTGCACCAATTCTTTTCAGACTAGCCAACTGTATAATATTGTGAGGCCAGACCCCAGCCAATAGGAAAAAGACTGTCGCCACCTGCAGCAGAATAAGAACAAAAACCTTTCTCTGTGTGTTCACTGTCAAGCCCACTTTTTTTTGTTTGTTTGTTTTTCATGACAGGGTTTCTCTGTGTAGCCTTGGCTGTCCTGGAATTCACTCTGTAGACCAGGCTGGACTCAAACTCAGAAATCTTCCTGCCTCTGCCTCAAGAGTGCTGGGGTTAAAGGTATGTGCCTCCATGCTGGGCTCTTACAGTATTCTTAGGAGAATCAAATGAGAAGCTGAATACTTAGCTGTATTCCCTGTAGGAGTGAGGTGTAGCTTAACAACATAGCTGTTCTTGCCTAGCACCAATGATCCCTGATTTGATTCCCAGCACCACAAAACCAAACAAAACCTGTGAGATGGACTCAGAAAACTTCGCTTTTTTTTCTTTTTTTAATTAACCTTTATTTTATGTGCATTGATGTTTTGGCTGCACGTATGTGAGAGGATGTCACATCTTGGAGTTACAGATAGTTATGAGTTGCCACGAGGTGCTGGGATTTGAACCTGGGTCCCTTGGAAGGGCAGTCAGTGCCCTTAACTGCTGAGCCATCTCTCCAGCCTCAGAAAACTTACAGGGCAGTGGAAAGGCCAACAAACAAATCTCCTTTTGGAAATTACTGGAAGACTTTATTGGGGCAGTGGAATTTTTAAAGGTACTCGAAGGATAAACAACTGGATGAGTGAAAAAAAATGCAACTTTTGTCCACCCGTGAAAAGCGCTAGGAAAACAACAACAACAAAAAACAAACAAACAAAAAAACCCCATCAAAACCAGAAATCAGTCCTTGCCAGTTGAAGTAAAAGCACTGTGGATTTAAAAAGGATAGACACTTCCCTGGGAGCCACGACTAATGGTGAAACGCATGGAGCCTCTGCTTACCTAAGGCTAGTAGGCCTAGCCAACTGCGACTTTGCATGGTTTTGGCCAGAGTTAACTTCCCAGGCAGAAAAACCACACCCACCAAGTCTCCAGGAGGCCTGGAAACCCATCGGAGACAAGGAAGCAGAGGGAACTGGCTTGGGGTAGCAGTGAGCGGGTTTTCTAGGGCTCAGAAGGAAATCGAGATGGTATAAAGCAGTCCCATTGGCAGCTGAGGGTTCAGGGGAGGCCTCCAAGGCTGCGAAGGCGAGCCACGAGGCTTCACGGCACGTAAAGCTACAATTCAGGTTGACGAATTTGGTCAGCGAGTGCGTCCTCTGTTAAAAGGAGAGAGGGCGCCCCCTGGGAACAATGCAGGGTAGACGCGGTTGGAAGACCCAGATGAGGACGGAAGAGGGGTGGGGGTTAAGATGGGGGTCGCCTACTCGTCAGTTTTCTTTTCCCAGAAGCTAACTGTCCGGCATGATGGATTCCTGGGCTTCCGAAACGGCTGGGCTGGAAGGGACCTCAAAAAAATAACTGCTGCCACATGCCCCGTACCAGAACTGGTTACTTTCTTGAACACTTTTAACACTAATTCTGCCTGGAGGTGAGTATTATGCCCCCTTTCGGGTAAGAAACTGAGGTTTGATTACTTCCTAAGGCGGAAAGGAGATTTTGTATATTCCAAAGTCTTCTTTCTTTGGCCCTCACGACGTGCAAGGTATCGATTTGCAAAGGTCTGGGAGAGGAAGCATCGTGTGCAAGATGCCCAGGCTTTCTAAGGGACAACAGCGTGGGTGTACTTTCTGGAGAGAACCACGCCTCCCTTCTCGCTGCAGTATTGGTTATGGTTGCTTTTTTTTTTTTTTTTTTCCAAATATAAAATCCTCACCATCCAAGAAGGCGGACCTTCTATACTCCCTGATCACCCCCGCTACTTCTCTCTCACCCGCACTGATTCCCACAGGTGACACCAGGTCTCCTCCACTGGAGAATGAAAGCTTGGGACTACATTTCCCTGCAAGCCCTTTAGAAAAGGAGGCCAGGAGGAAAGAGACTTTCCGTTTCCGTCCGCCTGCGATTTGGCGTGTTCGCGTTGATACATATTTCAACAGGAGCGTCCTTTCTCTGTACAGCTAAAGAAGAGACTACATACCCCAGCAGGTACTGGCACCGAGGGCAAGCGACTAGCTCGCCATCTCCGCAGTAGTCCTTTCCAACATATCCGCCGAGACTAGTCTTATCGGTTGGACTACAAATCCCATAGCACCGTCTGCTCTTTCACCCTCCATCTTTGCGCTAGGCCCCGCCCCACCCACTTCCATTGTTTGGACAGAAGATAAAGGAGGGGACCCGGGGAGACTACAATTCCCGCCCTGCTTTGCGCCACTGAGTGCGGGATTCTGATAGTCCGGGCGGGCGAGGAGCTCCAAGCGGTAGAATGAAGCAGCCAGGAAAGGTTAGGTAGCCTGCCATCTTTATGGTAGTCTCGTTATCCTCCTGGTTCTGGCATTCTTAAGGAACATAGGAAGGCTGGAAAACTACTATTCCCATCCCAACTTCATAAAATCGATATATTAGGCGTATGCCCTCGTTCGCCATCTTGCTTGTAGTCCTCGTTCCTTTTTCACCTTTCCATTGTTCCTGACGAGTAGACATGGCAGCGGGAAGGCAGCAGATGGACTGCGACTCCCGTCAGGTATCACACACGCGGAGGGTTGTGGACCAGAGGGCGTGTGAGTGCCTGGAAAGGAGGTCGGGTCGGGGGAAAAGGCCATCTTGTTTGTAGTCATCGTTCCTGCTCCTTCTATGTCCTGCTACGGGGAGTCTCGGGTCTACTGGACTATAATTCCCGCCATGCTCGGCTCCCAGCGTGGCATGCCTTTCGCCATCTTTTTAGTAGTGCCGGCTGGTCCCAGTAACTCGTTTTTCCCACGGTAGCGCCAGAGTTTGCAGGACTACAACTCCCGTCGTGCTTTGCACACGTTCGCCCTGGAAAGTAGAAGTGGTGGAGGAAGGAGGGAGAAGGGGGCGGGGTTCCTTTGGGAGAAGGAGGGAGTAAAAAGGAGGAGGAGGTGGGAAGGAGGGAGGGGAGAGGGAGGAGAGGAGGAAGGAGGAAGGAGCTGAGGAGGGATGAGAGCGGCGACCAGGGCCCAGGGCTGAAGAAGCGCGAGGCTAGGGGACTAGGGGTGCTAAGACACCTCAACTGCCCCCACCCCTTTCCTGCCTCTGCCCCATCCTTTCCTTACACCCTCCCATTTTAGGAGAGGATTTATTCAAATTTTATTTAAATCCCAATATCTTGAGGGTCGCGCGTTTGAAGGGGGAGGCCGGGGGCGCGCGCAGGCTGGGGGGGCGGGGCCGGAGCAGCTTCCTTCACCCCCCTCTTGCCCGCCCTGTCTCTGTAGGTCAGGGGGCCGCAGTACAGGGGCGGACCCAGGGGAGGGGGGCAGGTTGCAGCGACCCCCCCCTCCCCGGGAACCGGCGGTGGGCGGGGTTTGAACCCCGGAAACGGTGGGGGGCCCCCGGGTCTTTCCCTGGACCCCTGGGCAGTTGGAGCTGGGAAGGGGCCAGTTAAGGGTCGGGGGCTTTGGGGCGAGGTGGGGGTGGGGAACTGAGACTCGTACCCGGGACTGAGTGGGGCCCGGGCAGAAGCTGAGCACCCTGCGCCCGAGGAGCCCCCGTTGGCCTGGGGGGGCTGAGGGACTGAGCCCCCCAGAGCAGGACCTCCCCCTGGAAGGGCCGCGCCGCAGCCCGTGGGAGGGCCTCGCCCCCGGCGCTCCCCATCTCCACTCGCTGCTGTCCCGGCCTCCGCCGGAGGGAGGGGCCGAGCGCCCTCGGGGGGCCGTGGACCCCGGCGTTCTGAGCGTTCCGCGCCCCGCGCCGCCCGGCCCCCCCGCCGCCGATGGCCGCCGACCCGCCGGGAGCTGCCGAGAAGGGAGAGATGGCTCCCGGGACACGTGTGAGGTGGGTTCATGCGGCTCCTCCTCACCCCCAGACCTGGGCAGCTCCCACTCCCATTCATCCTCAGCCTGGCCTCTCCCTGCCTTCCCCGCCCCCAGCCTCACCCTCCCTTTGCTCCAAACTCCTCTCCAACCTTCTTCCTATAACCTCCCAACCCTAGGCAACTGGCCTTCCTTCCCCGACCCTGCTGCCCCTTGCAGACCTCCCCCTCCGTCCCCCACCCCCCGCCTCCAGTCGCCGCCCTCCAGGCCCCTCCCCCGGAGTGCTGGAGGGCCCCATACCCTGTGGATGGTCTGGAAGTCCTTGGAAAGGGAGAAGCCAGGGGGAAGCAGGTCTAAGACTGGCTGGGAAGAGACCCCTCCAGGCTTGCTGAATCCATGTGGGATTTCAGAGGATCTGGTTTCCATGGGCAGGAGAGCCCTAGGGATTCCAGACAATTAGGGATGAAAAGCAGCCTGGTAAGATGTGGGATGGGGGGGCGGGAGGATCCAAAACCGAGCCCACCTTGAATTTTGTTGAGATGTTAGGCGGGATTGTACAGTCCCGGGGGAAACTGGGAGATTACCCAGGTTGCCTGAGGGATCCTATTGGATATCTTGGAGCAGAAGGACTTCTGTGTGGGCTGGGAAGGGACACTTAGGAACCTCAGGGGTGTCAGTCCTGGGAAGTTGAGAGCACAGTGGGTTATTGGAAATGGATCTGGTTAGAGTATCCAGGTTTGAAAGGTTTGGATGACTAGTACCTAAGAGAAGAGAAGAGAGAGGGAGAGAGAAGAGTGTGGTATTTATTTGCCCCTGCAGTCTGGAGGTTAATCTGTGAGAGCATGGGGTGTTTGGGTAACAGGTATGAGTTCGAAGCTTCCTGAGGTAACGCTGCAGACATGAAGCCCTTTCCAGGAACCTTGGCTTGGGATGTTAGAGGAGGGGCCTAAGTGTCTGCTTCCAGCAAGAGGGAATGTTGGAGGAGGGAGGTCTTGAGTAATGGGAGTGGCCGTCTCCTCAGGACACACACTTAGAGGGCTGACCTTCTCGTCTCGTGGGTACAAATAGCTCTGCTCCATCAGAGGTGCAGCGAGCTCGTGTCCAGGACTGTCTCAGGCGAGGCTCCGCAGGCCCCCCTGACCCTACCACCATCTGCCTACAGCCCTCGGCGTTGCTGACGCCCCCAATGTCGTCGAGCAGCCGGGGGCCGGGGGCCGGAGCGCGCCGACGCCGAACCCGCTGCCGCCGCTGCCGGGCCTGTGTGCGAACTGAGTGCGGGGACTGCCATTTCTGCCGAGACATGAAGAAGTTCGGGGGGCCCGGGCGCATGAAGCAGTCGTGCCTGCTTCGGCAGTGCACCGCGGTGAGTCTTGCCCCCGTGCCGGGTACGTGGACCTCCAGGTATGCTTGCCGAGAGCACCGTCAGCAGTATCGGCCCGAGTATTCTCTGGGTGTCTAGAAGCTGCTTTCCAGAATCTTCCTCGGAGGTGCTGTCTTCCTCCACTGATTTGCCCTTGTCACAAAGTGGGGTACACAGAAGAATCTGCCTTAGATCTATATGGAAAGCTCAGCTCAGCTGGGTGTGGTGGCACACGCCTGTAATTCCCAGATTACAGGCAGAGGCAGGCCGATCTCTTGGAGTTGGAGGCCAGCCTGATCTACAAAAGCAAACGAAAGCCAAGACTACACAAGACTACTCTGTCTTGAAAAACCAAAAACAAAACAAAAAAAACCAAAAAAAGTGAAAAGAGAGCTCAGCCCCTGCGTTTATGCCCCTGCCCAAATATCTGTGTAAGAGGAACCCATCTTACATGGAGAATAATTTTTCCCTTTCTCTAGCCTCTTTCACAACCTTTAGGCCAGGAACCCCCGCCACCCCCCCCTTGTAACCTTGAGCAAATCACTCTGAACTACAAGTACCTTCTCTGTAAAATGTTTCCTTTGCTGGGCTGCAGAGATTAGACAGTAGTGTACTATGAATGTCCTATTGAAAGGCCCAGCACAGTGGTTATCTGGGAAGCATGGTTTCTTCCCTGCCTCCCTCATCCTTTGAGCAGCCCTGGGCACCAGAATGGCCTTTCCCCAGCAGCTCACCTCACTCCCTCTAGCCGCTCTTTCCTTGCACTTTCACCCCCACAGTCCCTTCTCTTCCTTTGTCCCTTAACCCCTTGCCTCACTTTCTGATCCTCCTTCCTTGATCTAGATCCATGGCCTTCAGCATCCCTGATATGATTTAGTGTAACCATTGTCCACCCTAAAGTCACATTGTCTGAGGCTGCTGCCTCTGCCCTAAGTCAGGCTAAGCAGTTGTGACTCCTCATGTCCCATGGACCTTTGCCTAACTGGTCTCACTGTGGGCCCCTGAGTCACCCTTGGACTCCCCTGAACAACCTTAGAATTAGCCCCAGGCTATTGTCTTATCTTTAACCCATCTGAGTGTTCACTCACCTGTGGTCTGGTCTCTTCTACTCCAAGCCAGCCCTGCCTCCTGAGCTAACAATTCCAATAAGGACAGTAGCTGTGTTTCTGCCCCTGCCCCCCACCCGCATGCCTTGTCTCCTTAACAATGGGCCTGCAAAGGAAGCTCCCTTACCCCATTTTAAAGACGCAGAAACAGTGAGGTTAAATCAACTGCTGAAGGTCATTCTGGCAAAAGGACCAAGTTAAGGACTGGGTTCTGAACCCACTTTATCCGACAGCTGGCTCCAGAGTTTTTCTGTGCAGCTTGGTTGTGGGGTCCCTGATGCCTCCTCTTCCCCAACAGCCCGTGCTCCCACACACAGCTGTGTGCCTCCTGTGTGGGGAAGCTGGGAAGGAAGATACAGTGGATGGAGAGGAAGAGAAGTTTGCTCTGAGCCTCATGGAGTGTACAATCTGCAACGAGATCGTCCACCCTGGCTGCCTGAAGGTGGTAACCCTGGGGGTGCATTGGGGTAGGCTGGCGGGGAGAGGGAGGTGGGTCACAGTCTCTGGGCATGTACTGGCACCTTCTCTCCGTAACGTGGTCTCTCGTGTACAGATGGGAAAGGCTGAGGGCGTTATCAATTCAGAGATCCCCAACTGCTGGGAGTGCCCCCGATGCACCCAGGAAGGACGGACAAGCAAGGTAAAGCAGGGGCTGGGACCGGGGAGGGGTGGGAGGTTGGGAACTAGGTGCGGCCTCATCCCCAGCTTACACTTTCTAGGACTCAGGTGAGGGTCCAGGGCGCCGTAGGGCTGACAATGGTGAGGAAGGCGCTAACCTAGGGGGTGGATGGAAGCTGACGGAGGAGCCACCACCTCCACCACCCTTGCCCAGAAGAAAGGGACCCTTACCTGCTGGCCCTCCCCCTGACGATGTGTCTGGGCCCCCCAAACGGAAGGAGAGGGAGGCGGGGAATGAGACCCCCACCCCAAGGAAAAAGGTGAGCGGAAGGGGGAGGCTGGTTTTAGCCCATGGGATTCTGGGAACTGTAGTCTTAGCCTGGGGGGTGGGGGTTCCAGAGGAAAGTCCTGCCTGACGTGGGGAGCAAGGGTATGTGGGTTTCTTCCAGAGGTGGTTGGGAGTTGTGGCAGGAGTTGTGGATGGAACACGGATCGCTATGAAGAAGAAACATAGCAAGGGGTAACTGGTACAGGCCAGGGATCTTTGGAGACCTGGAGAATTAGGGAGGGGCAACAGAGCATGCTCAAACTACTACAGAGGCGGAGGGAAGGGCTTGAAAAAAAGCCTGAGGGGGAAAGAAAGAAGCTGAGGAGCATGCTCAGTAAGCCAAGACACTGATTACAAGGTTAGCATGCTGAGCGGTCTTCCTGGGATGGGGGCTTCTGGGATTTGTAGTTCAAGAAGAGGCTGTGGCCCTTAGTTTGGTAGTCAGTAAGAGCTTCTAATGGAGTTTCTTTTTTTCCCTGTATCTCCTTGCCCTGGTAGGTGAAAGGAGGCCGAGAGAGGCACTTGAAGAAGGTGGGTGGAGATGCCTGCCTCCTCCGAGGAGCGGACCCAGGCAGCCCCGGCCTTCTGCCCCCCAGGGTTCTGAATCCGAGCCAGGCATTCTCATCCTGCCACCCTGGGCTCCCTCCCGAGAACTGGGAGGTGTGCCGGGGACCTCCTCCTTCCCTCCCCCACCCCACCCTCCATCATGGAGACCAAGATCTGTTCTTTCCTGCTCACTTTGTCTTGCTCTAGCCCCCGTGTTCCCTATGGCCCCCTGGAAGGAGTTAGGTGGAGAATAGCCTGGGTCCAGGTCCTAGGAATCCCTGATTTCCAGCAGCCATGAGTATACTATCTGGCCCATTTTCCTCAGTTTTCTAAGCCTGAGTGGAAAGAACTGAATTTAGGTTTCTGCCATATTACTGATTATTTATATGGTCTTGGCAACTTGTTGGCTAGACTCTGGGCTGGCAAATGGGTTTTCTAATTTGTGAGATGAAGACAGACCTACTTTCCTTACCCCTTTTCCCATCTCATAGCCAGATAAATCTAATGACACATAAAAGTAATGGGGCCCAGAGAAAGTAAAGGGTTGGCCCAAGATCACCTGGCAAAGCTAGAGTTCTGATATTATTCTGCACTGCAGCCTAAACACAAGCTTCTGCTGGACTGTCCAGATCCTCCACCAGATACCAGTGTAACCTTCAACAAGTCACTTAGTCTTTTTGAGCCTCACTCAGTTTCCTTACATCTCAAAGGAGTAGCCCCGGTCGTCTCTTGAGTCAGACAACAAGGTTGCTCTCACCAAGACAGGCAGTGATCACTCCCGCACTGCAGGCTTCTCTAGTCTAGCTGTTCCATGTTGTCCATGGTCAAGCAGGACCTTCCACAGCCCAGAACTGAAAAGGCAAGCCCGCACTGCACACAAGGCCTCTGGGAGGGTCGTGGGCCATTGACTGACCCAGGCTATCTGGACTTTGAATTGTGCCTTCACATGGTAGATAAGGAAACTGAAGTCCAGAGGTGGACTGTGTCTCCTGGGGCTATTCATCCTCTGGTGACTCCTTTTGGGTGAGTGGTTGGGAAAGTGCACTCTAGGCCCTAGTACAGCCTCACCTGTCTCTTTGCAGAAACCAAAGCCGCCTATGGCTTCTGCTGAGGGCCCAGCAGTGCCATCCCCATCGCCACAGAGGGAGAAACTAGAGCGTTTCAAGCGGATGTGCCAGCTGCTGGAGCGGGTGCCTGATACCTCTTCTTCCTCCTCGGACTCAGACTCTGACTCAGACTCATCTGGCACATCACTTAGTGAGGATGAAGCTCCTGGGGAGGCCCGGAATGGGCGGCGGCCAGCCCGAGGCAGCTCTGGCGAGAAGGAGAACCGTGGGGGGCGGCGGGCCATACGCCCTGGCAGTGGGGGGCCACTGCTCAGCTGGCCCCTGGGCCCTGCCCCACCACCGAGGCCTCCACAGTTGGAGCGGCACGTGGTCCGGCCCCCCCCTCGAAGCCCTGAGCCTGACACTCTGCCTTTGGCTGCTGGATCCGACCACCCCCTGCCTCGGGCGGCCTGGCTTCGAGTCTTCCAGCATCTGGGACCCCGAGAGCTATGTGTATGCATGCGAGTCTGCCGGACTTGGAGCCGCTGGTGAGTGGCCAGACAGGCCTGGGTTCCATTGCTGCTTTGATTCTTGCTTGTTAGGTGACCTATAACAGGTTTCTGATTCTCTCTGAGTCTTGGCCTTCTTTTTCATCTGTATTGTAATGTGATCCCTTCATGGCTACTGTGAGCTCACTTGGCCCTCCCAGTGGCTCTGTGGAGAGCAGATAGTAGACCTAGGACTTTGAATCTGGAGAGAAAACCTCTACAGGTAGCCCTTGCCCTCTGAAGCAGCCATGGGTGGCTTGGGCCTCCTGAACCAGCCATCCCTTTTCTCCTAACACCCTCCCCCCATTGCCTCCTCACCCTGTGTAGAAATGCTTGTCATCCCCCAAAGCCTGTCTTTCCTTCTGGTCGTCACCAACAAGCTTCCTCCTCCATCGCGCTCCCACAGCGTGCTGTTCCCCTAATGGAGCACACAGAGGCCTTTGGCATGTGGACAAGCTTTCATTCTTTATTTTTGTGTTCCCATCAGTTTCTGGGGTTGGGGACACATACTTTGTATTGATTTTTATCTTCATATCCCCAGCATAGTACAAAGGAAGTATAGATAGATGTTCAAGAAATGTTGCACTAAGTGAGTAAATCCAAGGTTTTTCCCAGGACTCAGATTCCCTGGGATTCCCTCAGATTCCCTCAGATTCATCAGGGCTTCAACAGTGTTGCATCTCCAGCTCTCAGGAGGCTGAAGCAGGAGGAGCCTGAACTGAAGGCCAGTCTTGGCTACATAATGACACTTTGTGTTCTGTGCCCCCATCCGTGTTCCCTGTTGTTGTGTCCCCAGTCACCCTTACCTCCCCACTCCTTACCCCTCCATTCCTATATCGCCTCCCCCCCCCAAAAAAAAAAGTGCAATTATCTTTGTTCACATAAATAGCAGCACTGAGGGAATGAGGCACACTGAACCTTGCTAGTCTGGTTAGGGGCTAAACAAAACTCCTCCCTCTTCCTTTGGGACAGGGTCTGGAGAGCTAGAACTTTGCCTTGGGGTTTCTCTGGAGTCAGGCAGGCTGGTATGCGAAGAGCTGGAGGCAAATGCCTCTGGTAGACTGTTTGCTCCAGTGAGTCTGTGCCCTTGGGGTAGTTTTTTAACTTCCTCATGCCTTTCTTCTTCTGCTTCTTCTTCTTGTCCTCTTTTCTTCTTCTTCGTCTTCTTCTTCATCATCATCATCATTTTCATCCTCTCTCCTTCCTTTTCTCCCTTCCCTGTATTAGGAATGAACCCATGGCCTGTTGCATACATAGCAAGTCCTCTACCACTGAATTATACCTTGAGCCTTCTTTTTTTTTTTAATTATTTTGTTTTGGTTTGTTTTTTTGTTTTTGTTTTTGAGACAGCGTTTCTCTGTGTAACAGCTCTGGCTGTCCTGGAACTGATCCTGTAGATAAGGGCTAGCTTTGAACTCACAAAAATTCTCCTGCCTCTGCCTCTCAAATGTTGGGATTAAAGGCCACCCATGGCCCGGCTTCATTTTTGTTTTTGAGACAGGGTCTCCAAGTTGTCTAGGCTGACCTTATTATCCTTTTATTCAGAAGTAGCTAGGTCTGCACCACCAGGCCTGGCCTCAGATTCTTTATTTCTTCATGTAAAACCAGGACAGGTCTCACAGCTTTTGTTAGATAGTAGACCAGAACTGAGCAAAATACTTAGGAAGTAGAACCTCTCAGGGCCTCAGGATCATTACTGTTCACATGTGCTTGCTTACAGATACAGACTGAAAGACCAAGGTTTTAGTCTTAAGAACTGTGCTCTGGAAGAGACTGCAGCGTAGATGCAGTCACAGAACTTGCTGAGGGTTGCTACGCCACCTGGTACAGTCTTGAGAGATGAGATGTTTGTCCATGCCTTTCAGGCTGGCTCTGTGCTTGACACATGGGATCCAGAAGAGACCTGTAGCTGGACATAGACAAAGCAGAGAAGCCAGTGAGTGCACAGTGTCCCCAGCCTGGGCCCTGCAGCCTGGCCGGTGGCTCTTGTCAGTGATGACTTCCATCTCTTAAAGGCCTCTATTGCTCACTTGTAGTCTGGGATGTATATTACTGTGGTTGGATATCAAGTCCTAAGAAGGATTGGTTCTAAGATGCCCCTCCACTTCAGGATACCAAAATTCAAACAGCACAGTGTGTGTGTTTAACCTGCTCAATCTCTGGATGATTTATGGGATCTAATACAATGCAAATGATATGTAAATAGTTACTATCCTATATTGTTCAAGGAGTAACAAAACAAGTCTCCTTCAGTACATAAACAATTTTTGTTTAAATGTCTCCATCTGTGGGAGGTTGAATCCTTAGATGCCGAAGCTCAGATACAGAAGCCAGGTCCTGTTTACCTTGTGGGGTTTAATGAGGCGGTTCCTGCAGAGCACTCAGCACAGTGCCTGAGGGTACTAAGCCCTCAGTAAATGGTGCCTTCAGGTGAGAAGAACCAGCTAAGGGCAGAGCAGAAGGTTGTGGGGATCACAGTGGGGGATGTGTCAGGAAGCTCTGCCAGATCTGGTCACTCAAGCAGGAGCAGCAGGGAGGGGCACAGATTGAGACTTTTGTGGAGGAGGTGAGAAGACAGTGTCTCACTGTGAATTCCGGAACCCTCCTGCACCACATGCCTGGTTCAGACCTCAGTGAGAAGAGAAGTGGCCCCTGGGCTTGGGCTCCCGGGTCTTTAATTCCACTGCTTGGAAGACTGGGGCAGAAAAATGGCAACTTCCAGGCCAGCCTCTGCAGTTTATTAAGACACTTCTCCAGATAAAAGGACTAGCTGAGTGGTGACACATGCCTTTAATCCCAGTACTTGGGAGGCAGAGTCAAGTGGATCCCTGTGATCAAGTTGAGGCGAGCTTAGTCTGCATATAGAAAGTTCCAGAACAGCCAGGCCCACTTTAAAAAAAATAAAAAGGAAGGATTGGGGGATGGGGAGATAGTATTTGTTGTGAAGGCCTGCATGTCATCCCCAGAACCCAGGGAAAAGGCCAGCATTGAGACAGGAGAATTCCTGGGGCTTGCTGGCCAGCCTGCCTAACCTGATCTACAAGCCTTAGTTCCCGGTAAGAGACCCTGTTTCAGAAAACAAGGGGTGGGGTGGGGGGAGCCATCTAGAGAGATGGCTCATCAGTTAAGAGCCTGTGCTGCTCGGCAGAGGACAGGCGTTTGGAGATGTAACTTAGTGATAGAACACTTGTTTAGCCTGGTCCTGGGTTCAAGCCTTTGTACTGCAGGAAAAGGGCTTAGACTTGCTGACTCATTGCCTGTGAAGACTGCATTGTGAAGATCAGCTGAATTTGTGACCCAGGAGCCTGGGTGGGAGATAGCAATATTCCTGAAGCTTGGGAATCCTAGAGGAGGGTCAGGCAGTCTCAGCAGAGAGAGAAGAGCTCAGATTTGATCTTTGGTCTGAGATTTTGTGAGCCAGTCCAGTTCTACTGCCGAGGAAGCAAGGTTTCGTTCTAACGTACAAGTCTTCATCTTGTAGGGAGCAGATTTGAGAGAGCCATGACTCTCAGCCTTCCTAATACTGTGACCCATTCATACAGCCCCTCATGTTGTGGGGACCGTCTACCAGAAGATTATTTTTGGTAGTCAGGGGGTACTGTGCACCTTTAATCTCCGCACTACCGCCTGAGGCTGATTGTTCACCCTGGTCTACAGAGCAAGTTCCAGGACAGCCAGGGCTATACAGAGAAATTCTGTCTCAAAAAAAAAAAAAAATTGCTACTGTTATAAATCATAATGTAAATATCTGCGTTTTAGGTGACCCCTGTGAAAGGCTCACTTGACCCCCAAAGGAGTTGTAGCCCATAGGTTTAGAACTGCTGCGATAGAGCAGAGATACCGGGCACATTGGCGCACACATGTAATCCAGCTCTCTGGGAGGCAGAGGCACGTAGATCTCTGAGTTCAAAGCCAGCCTGGTATACAGATGAGTCCAGGACAGCCAAGGCTACACAGAGAAACCCTGTCTGAAGAGTCAAGGAAAAGAGAGCGCAGAGACGGAACATAAGTATGAGCTAGAGAAAGAGCAACTCAAGAATTTTGGAGCTTAAGGAAGGAGGTAGGTCCTAATAAAAGGCTGAGGAAGGGATGCTTAGAGCACACACGCACACAGACACACACCTTGCTGTGCGTAGAGAAGGGGAGAGCCAAAGCCAGAGTCAAAGACAGAAACTCCAAGTCGGGGACTTGATCCATTGAGTTGATCCATTGAGTTGATCCATTGAGTTGTGCTGGGTCCCTGGTTTCTGAGACGGCACCTGGCGTTCACCGGCTACTAAGACAACTGTGTTGAGTGAATGAAGTTAGATGAAGAAATGGGGTGTGGAAAGAGGCAGAAGAGGGTGTAGCTGGAGAAGTTCCGAAGTGGGAGAGCAGGCAGTTGCAGGCTTTCCTGTCTGGTAGCTCTGATTATTCAGAACTGGGAGGCAAAGGGCAGCCAGGGGGGTTGTGGAGGAGGTGTTGATGTACCAGGTAGACACTGCAGTGTTCAAGGCCGTGAGCACAGGAGGAGGTAAGCAAGGACTGGCACACGGTCAAGGCTGGCTGGTGGGAGGCTAGAGGGTAGCGGCAGTGTTAGGGATCCCAGAGAGTGCCTAGAAGGAAGAACCAGCAGTCATCTCTGCCCACAGCCCACAGCCCACGGGAAAGCTGAATCTGCAGAGAGCCAGGGGGTTGGGGGGGCAGCTCCGTCCCCAGGGCACTTCTGCAAGATGAGGTTTGAAACTGCAACGGAGGGTTTGCAGAAGGATGTTGTGGGCTTGGCTGGAGTCAGAAGGGGGATGCCCAGGCCTGCCTGTTGAAGAATTCTTGCAGGTTTTGTTTCTCAAGTGCCACTTGTCTCTGTGTCACCCTCGCTTCCGCCCCCAGCTTGAAAAGACATCCATGGCTCTCTGTCACCTTCAGCCTCTGCCCAGTCCCATTGGACATGGCGTTGGGCCCCAGCACAGGCCTTCCTGCGTTGCTTCCTTTGTTGGTGTAACACGCCTTTGAAGTCAGAACTCTTACCCCATTTTATGGCTTGGGAAATGGAGGCTCAGAGAGGTCTCCCCAAGTGTGGAGGTGGAAGAGCCGGGTTTAGATCTGCGCAGCTTATACACTGCTCTTGTGGTTCTGGGTCTGGGACAGTGAGCGTGCTGCCTGGCGTTGCAGCCCTCTTTGTCATCCGTCCCTGCTGCTATCCTGGCCCTTCGAGCCTCATCCCTGCCTTTTTCCACTCAGGATTCAGGCTCCATCCACTTAATACCTAGGGGTCCCTGAACAAGGTTTTGTTTTTTCTTTAATTAATTTATGTGTATGTTTGTGTGAGTTTGTGCACCAGAGGAGAGGCATGCATGAGCATGTTATATCCCCTGGAACGGAGCTTCAGGCATTTGGGAGCTGCCATGTTGGCTCTGAGAATCAAACCCAGGTTCTCCGTGAGGGCAGTAAGTGCTCTTAACCACTGAGCCATCTCTCCAGCCCCCCTTGAGTATATTTTTTAACCTCTCTGGGCCTTATGTTTCTTAACTGTACGAACACTGTGATAATCATCTCCCAGGGATGGTGTAGACTTGAATGCTTAATGCAGAGAACAGAAGGTGATACTCAGTAAACCTTGGATAAACACATACTATTAGTCTGTAGTCATCAGTCTGTAGTCTGTGTTAAGGTGAATTGTCCTCATTCTTGCTTGCCACCTGAGTTTCTCAGAGCTGCCATGTTGTCCTGCTCCTGGGTATAGATAGCTAAGCCCTGCCTTTGTCCACCCTGCCCTTCATGGAGTCTCAGCAGGGTCTTCCCCTCTTTTGGTCTCTGAGTTGAAGGCGCCATGTCCTTATCACCCTGGTTTTCCCCAATGGTGTCTTTGCTTCCTCATGCCCAGAGGAAGCTGGATACTCCTATCAATAGGACCTGAGCAACTGTTGGCTGCCACACTGCGGTTTATTTAATCCCAACGTCCTGTGACTGACTACAGTGGGTTGAGTTGGCTGCATCCAAGAAACAGTCAGGGAGACTCCCTGAATGTGAAGGTCTAGGGTTGAGCCTTGAGGGGCTTAGGATAGTTGGCCTTGCTAGAAACATAGAATGTGCCAGAATAAGTTGGCACTAGACGACATTGCATGCGTATAAAGGCACGTTGGTATTCTAGCTGGCTTTTGTGGAATATAATACAGAAACACAGTTGGGGACCTGGGAGTACCCTCAAATTAGGGTTCTCTTTCCAACTGTGGACAGTCCAGGAGGCCTTCAAGGAGTGGCACTGCGGAGCTAGGACTCTATGCTGGACAGAGAAAGGCTTTGGATGTAGCAGGAGCTCAGAGTAGCAATGGAGAGAGAGGCTGGCTAGATAATGGGTCTGGTTTCGTGTTTTTCTTCTTAGGGAGAGATGTATGTTTAAAGGTTGAGTGGAGGGATTGGAGACTAAAGAACGGAATGGCAGAAAGAAGGAAAGAATGAAAGGAAACGGAAGTCTATTGTGAACTATTGTATCTTTAGTACCTTTCTAATCCATATCACCTACTTAACTGGCTGTAGGTTTTAGATAGCCTGGCTAGAATAGGTTTCATTGTATTTGTTTAAGTTTCATCTCCTTGCTGGCTCTTTCGTTACATTTATTTATTCATCGGTGTGTATGGTGGGGTGAGGTGTCCTGGGAATCGAACTCTGCCACTAGCCTTGGCACCAGCACCTTTACCTGCTGATTCGTCCTAACGGCTTTTGGTGACAGTGTCCCACTGTGCAGTACAGATTGGCCTTTTAAACTTTCTTTTTGGGAGGAGGTGCGCTGTTAACTGGACGATGGAGGAGTCAGTTCTCTTTCTACCTTTGCATGGGAGGCCATCAGGATTTCGTGGCGAGCATTCTATTGCCCAGGCATCCCTAGCTCTCATGTTTATTTTAAGCCTTGCATTTGTATGGACCGCTGCTGTCTGCTGTGCTTTTTCCGCTTGTGTTTTGGTTAAGACAGGGTCTGGTAGCTGAGGCCGACTTGAATTCCTGATTGTCCTGTCTCCACCTCTCAAGTGCTAGAATTACAGGCGTGTGCCACTGCTCCCAGAGCAACACTGGGTTTAAGTGCAGCTAGAGAATGACGTAAAGATAAACTCATGCCAAATATGGTGGCACACGCCTGCAATCCTAGTTGAGGTAGGAAGACTACCTCAAGGTCTTTTGTTGTTTTTGTTTTTTAAGGCAGGGTCTCTCAAATAGACGTGTCTGTCCTGGAACTCACTATGCAGACCAAGCTGGCCTCAAACCCCATACTCACAGAGATCCACCTGTCTGTGCCTCCTGAGTGCTGGGATTAAAGGCTTGCATTACCACGCCTGCCCCACCTCTAGTCTAAAGTAGCCTAAATAGTGAGTTCCAGACCAGCCTGGGCTACAATGAGATATCCTATCTCAAACAAACCAAAAAAAAAAAAAAAAAAAAAAAAGGCAAACCCGTGTTATGCAGAGAAATAGGCAGATAGTGGGAAAATTTGAAAATTACTGAAGAAGACCACCTTAGAGTTTGTTTGAAGGAACTTAAGTGTATGACAAGATGTTGATGATTTCTTGATAAAACACTTGGGAGTCTTTCCACTTACGGAGTGCGGGACTAATTGAGTCCTTCGGAGTGTGGGACTCAGACCTGTTGATCTTTCTTCAGAATTCATGTGCTATTTCTTGCTCCAGTGCCTGGGACCTACAGGCCTAAACACTTAATGAATGCAAAATGGTGACTGAGTTGTTGATGCCGGCTTTGCTCATTCAGGCATGTGTGAGGGAACCAACCTGCCTTTAGTGTGTTGGATGCCGGGGAGCCAGAAGTGAAAAAGGCCAAATCTGCCCTTGTGGAGTTTACATCCTAGTGGGGGAAACTAATCCAACAGACAAAGTATTACTCTGAGTCCAGCCCTGGCTACACACTTGGCCGAGTGAAGCTGAAAAGTGCCTGTGAGATGTTCTGACTTAGGAAGGGAGGGAACTCAGGAAGCCCAGAGGTAGAGTCTGGGGGCTGCTTTCAGAGCTCTTTGGCATTAATTACACCATACTGCAAATGGTGTCTGTGTAGCTATCTGGCAAAGTTGTAAGATCCACGAACTGTAATTACTTCATTTGATCTTAAGGCAGCCCTGTGGGGCAAGCAACCTGAATCATTATCTTCAGTTTATAACTGAAGTCTTTCTGACTCAGGAAGAGGAATGGACTTGCCCAGGGTCTTGCTTCCAATTCCCACTGAGGAGGGCTCCTAGATCCAGTCCTTTGGGCCAGAAGATTCTAGCCATCCTCAGACAGGAGAAAGCTGGGGTGTCGGGTTGTGGGGTCCATGAGAGTTGGGGCTGAGGACTCTGTCTCCCCCCTGTGGCTGGCAGGTGCTACGACAAGCGTCTGTGGCCTAGGATGGACCTGAGCAGGAGGAAGTCACTGACCCCACCCATGCTTAGTGGGGTCGTTCGCCGCCAGCCCCGCGCTCTGGACCTCAGCTGGACAGGTGTCTCCAAAAAGCAGCTCATGTGGCTTCTGAACCGACTGCAAGGTAGGACTGGCGAAGAGTCGGGACAGGTGGGGACAGGCGGGGACAGGCAGGTGCCATGAGTTCTAGCAGCTGTCTCCTGGTTCTAGGCCTGCAGGAGTTGGTGCTCTCTGGGTGCTCCTGGCTCTCCGTCTCTGCCCTGGGCTCAGCCCCACTGCCAGCACTGCGGCTCTTGGACCTCCGCTGGATTGAAGATGTTAAAGACTCCCAGCTTCGTGAGCTGCTGCTGCCTCCACCAGACACCAAACCAGGTTTGCCCACCGAGCTCACCCATAGACGGGTTAGGTAAAGTGGAGGCGTGGGCTCTGAAGCCCCTTCTGATATGCCAGGTCTCAAAGGAGTTAAAGAAATGGAAGAAAGTGGGCTGGAGAGAGGGCTCAGTGGTTAAGGGCACTGACTCCTCTTCCATATGGACCCAGATTCAAATCCCAGCACCCACATGGCAGCCCACAGCTGTCTGTAACTCCAAGATCTGACACTCTCACATAGACATACATGCAGACAAAATTCCAATGCACGTGAAATAAAGGTAAGTAAATTAAAAAAAAAAGAAGAAGAAGAAGAAAATAGGAGTTTGAGTAGGAAGACCTGTTTTGGCCACTTTTCGTTTACTCACTTTTCTTACTGTGTACTTTGAACTAAGTCTTGAAAGGATAGGCTTTCCCTTAGAAGGGCAGAAAAGGCCTGGTGAGGAGTCATGGTTTTTAAAGCATTCTCTCTGGCCCCAATAGTCTCTTCCTACCAAAGCCAGGAAAGCCGCCCAGAAGCGCACATCTGTTGTCACCTCGTGCTTTGACTCTCATAAGGACCACTTTTTTGGTTTTTCTGTGCCCTTAGAACGCAGCCTCCTATGCATGGAATGCAGACACTCTCCCACTGAGCTCACAGGCTTGGTGTTTGTTCTTGTGGTTTTATACAGGGTCTCACTGTATAGACCAGGTCTGCCTCAAACTCCCAAGAGATGAGCTTGCCTCTGGAATTAGTGTGAGCCCTCACATTCGACCCTTCCTACTTTTCATTTTTTGTTTGAGTTTGTGACAGGTTTTGTTCTGTGGCCTAGACCGGCCTGGAACCTGTGGGGCTCTGCCTCCTGAGCACTGAGTCCGCAGAGCTGCAGCACCATCCTTAAGACTGATATTTTTCACCACTGAGGGCTGAGGGCTGGCTTAGCGTATGTCCTTCTTACGCCATCCCTGTACTTTAGCTGCTTGAGATTTCTTGCCAAGGTCTCGCCAGTCCTGGGGCCTTTTCCTAATCTTGGTCGCCTCTTCTGCTGTGTCCTCCTCCATCGAATTAACAGCTGTCAGTTTTTAAAGTATTTCTTCGGGGAAGACACCACACCTGTACATTTTACATCTCTGAAGCCATGGATGTAGGGAAAATTCTAAGCAGAGCAGGGCAGGCTGAGGCTTCAGTGACCAGAGCCTCTCAGCTTTGGCTTCCTTCTTTTTCTGATCATTCAATTCCTCCATTTCAGAAAGCTGTCTCAGCTCTTAGATTATTTATTATGCTTAGATTTCTCGCTTCTAAGACATACACTAATGTCCCCTGCCCTTAGTCCACAAGTTCTAAATGACCTTTCTTGCCTCTGGTAGACTTGGGCTGTGGCCGGTCAGCTTGCTCCTTCTTTAAGCTGTGAGCTCCTTAGGGACGCATGGAGAGGTAGAACTCGGGGCTTGCTAAGTTGAATGCCCACAGACGTATAACAGAAGCGGTATGTTTGGTTGCCAGACCTTAGGGAGCAGTTCACCAACCTTCTAGTCCCAGCACTTCTGAGGCATAAGCGGGGCCAATAAGATACATGTAAGGCTAGCCTGAGCTAAATATTCTATCTCAAAAATAAATTTTAAATAAAGAGTAATTCTACTGGAAGCCTTTCAGTACAATCCTGTTATCCCAGCTACTCAGAAATCTGAGGCAGGAAAATCAGGAATTCAGGGCAAGCCTGGGCAACGTGGAGACATTTGTCTCAGAAAGTAAATGAGGACACAGCTTAGTTGCCAGGGTTCACCTAACCTGTGTGGTCCTAGGTTCAATCCCTAATGCCACAGCCACACGCGCGTGCGCACACACACACACACACACACACTGATTTTAGCATTATACAGATGCCACAGAATAGTTTGGAAATTTGTCTTAGTCTGTGACATCTGGCGATGTTTTTCTCAGAGCCAGGCTAGTGTCTGGCAAGTGATGGTATTATGATAAGAGTCTGATTCAGTCCCAGGCCTGGGGGTCTTCTCTCTGTTACTTCATAATCATGTGCTCTTGGACAGGTGACTTTGTGACCTGAGCCCTAGTATTCTCTGCAAGCAGGGGTGATCAAAGGAGAGGCTTCCTTTTGAAATTTGTTTGTTTTGTTTCTGTGTGTAGCCCTGGCTGTCCTGGACTCACTCTGTAGACCAGGCTGGCCTAGAACCCCCAGAGATCCACCTGCCTCTACCTTCCCAGTGGTGTGATGACAGGCCTGAGCCACTTCACCTGGCTCCTTTTGAAAATGGAAGAATTTTTATTATTTTAAAATATATGTTTCTGTTTGTGTGAGGGCATGGGCGCATGTGTGCCCGTGTTTGCAGAGAGGTGTCAGGTGCCCCCAGAGCTGAGATACAACAGGTGGTTGTTAGCTATTGGATTTGGGTGCTTAACCGCCGAGCCATCTCTGTTGCCTTGGCTTCCTAAAGCATAGTACAGGCCCAGCAGTGTTAGCACAAGAGAATTTGGAAGAAAAGTAAATCTGAAATCTTGGGCTTCATGCAAGACCTACTACAATTCTGGTGCGGGGCCAGCAACCCTCCAGTCAGGGACCTAAGGCAGTGGTGTGGAGTGGGAGGACTCTGAGCCCTTTCCCCTGGAGATAAGGGAGGAGGAGGCTTCTGGCCTCTGCAGTGGCCAGCAGTCTCTTGAGCCTAGGTCATCCTGTCAGGGTTTTGTGGACAGAGCTACTTGTGGAATGTAGCCCCAGTGTTTGGGGATGGGCTTGGGTTCAAAGCTGAAGCAAAGGGATAGAATCCATGTTCTATCAGGGAGTTAACCTGTTCTAGTTAGTTTCCTTTTGTTGTGATGAAATGGCATGACCAAAGGACCTTGGGGAAGAAAGGATTAATTTCATCTTACAGCTTGTAGTTTATGAAGTCAGGGCAGGAAGTCAAGCAGCGACCGTCAAGGTGCACTGCTCACTGGCTGGCTCTCCATGGCTTGCTCAGTTGGTCGTCCTACCCAGGGTAGCACTGCCCTCAGTGAGCTGGGCCATCTCACGTCAGTAATTGAACACAATTGAACGTAAAATGAACATAAAAGAACATGCTTCCACAGACGTGCCATCCGATGGAGGCCATTCATTCTTCAATTGACATTCTTTCTTCGAAGATGACTCTAGCTCGTGTCAAGTTGACAACAATTAAAAACAAGAAAAAACAAAAAGAAAACCCAACTAAACCAAAACAAAAAAACCTGAACCAGCACATACTTCCAAAGAATTCCAAGTAGAGGAGAAATACTATCCCATTTGTGTTTGAGAATAAATCGATGGAGCATTGTAGCTACTCAGAAGGTAGAGGTGGGAAAATTGCTGCTAATTTGAGGCCAACTAGGTCTACACAGGCGGTCCAGACCAGCCAGAGTTACATAGCAAGGGTGTGGGAGAGTGCTGGCAAACTTGGTTCTGGTGGAGAATGAAGGAGAGTTCCAGCAAGACTGTTGAGCCTGTACCGTGACCTCACTGGTCATGGGAAGGATGGAGGGTGGTGTTTATTGGATTAGGGGTGAAAATAACTGAGTATCCTACTAGGGACAGAGCATTGAGCAAAAGTTGTGCTTTCTTGGACATTCTTATGGTGGGAGAAATAGATCCCAAGGGAGAAATGTATATACAGTGTATTAGATACGGGGGGTGGGGCTTAGGAGTGAGAGGAATGTTAAGACTCAGAGCGCTCGGGAGGCCTCCCTCAGGGGATAGGAGCACAGGTCAGATGAGATGACTGGGTGCCGTGGGTGTTGGCAAGAGCAGGTCATGAGGAGCAGCAGCAGGGGAGGCGCTCACATGTTAGGAGCAGGTAATGAAGAGCATGAGGGCGGTGGCAGAGCTCCCAGCAAGGGTCCAGGGGTCAGAGGTCCAAGGGTAGGAGGAGCCTTAAATGTTAATGCTTCTTTGTCTGCGCAGGGCAAACGGAGAGCCGAGGTCGACTGCAGGGGGTGGCAGAACTCCGCCTAGCAGGCCTGGAGCTCACCGATGCCTCCCTGAGGCTCCTGTTGCGCCATGCTCCCCAGCTCAGTGCCCTCGACTTGAGTCACTGCGCCCATGTTGGGGACCCCAGTGTCCACCTCATTACGGCTCCCACCTCCCCTCTCCGAGAGACACTGGTACACCTCAATCTCGCTGGTAAGTGCGATCCCCCGTCTGCCTTGCTTCCCTAGTGGTGTGGGTTCCCTGTCCGTCGACTACTCCCTGCTCACCTATCTAGTCTTAGCTACCACTGCCTCATCTCCAGGATGCCACCGCCTCACGGACCACTGCCTTCCACTGTTCCGTCGCTGCCCACGTCTTCGCCGCCTGGACCTGCGCTCCTGCCGCCAGCTCTCACCTGAAGCTTGTGCCCGGTTGGCAGCTGCTGGGCCCCCTGGCCCCTTTCGTTGCCCAGAAGAGAAACTACTTCTCAAGGACAGCTAGTTGGGTGCCTATGCCCCGGTCCCCCAGGACTCAACAAGAGCTCCTGGGCCTCTCGCCTTCATTTCACCCCTGTTTGGAGGCCAGGTTATTTTCTTCATGACTTGGCACTCCTCAGTTTAATGACTTGGGATTTCTTCCCAAGGACTTGAGCCAGCCTTCCCCTTCCCTCCCACCTGCACTGATATCTTTGGGGGTCTTTGCTTCCCATCTCTCCCTTCCACCTGCTTCATTGTCCATCCCCTTGGGGGAGTGGGTCAAGAGGTACCGGGGAGGTGCTGAGCCAAAGGGACGGTGGGAGGGGGCGCCAAAGGTGCGAGTCAGGAAGGAGGAGGGGAAATGGTATCTTGCACGCAGGATACTGGGAGCCAGGGGGCTGAGGGAGGTGGTAGCCGGGTGCGGGGAGGGCAGAAAGCAGAAAGCAGACCAACAAGGTTCAGGGAACAGACCAGTTGGGTGGGGCGGGGTCCAAAAAAAAGGGAAACCAGAGGAGCAGTTGGGGTTCCAGGTGTCAGATAGGGGCCTCTAAAGCCAGGAAAAGCCAGGACTGGGGGCTGGGAGAGGAGCAGATGTGGGCTAGTCCCCTCTCTGTGGGGTTACCCCTCTCCCCTTCCTCTGCCCAGATTCCAGTTCTTTCCCCACCCGACTCCTTGAACGTCACTGAAAATGGCAGCTATTGCAAGGAGTAGGGGCCACGGGTCCACCTGCTGTTCAGCGTGGCCCAGGGGAGTGGTAAGGGGTGGCCCAGACCCTTGCCTGGCTCTCTCCACAATACTTGAACATTCATCTGTACTGAAGTGTTACTTGAACCGGGGGAAATCTCGGACTTGGGGGAGTGTGATGTGAGGGGACCAGCTTGACTGACGGAAACTGGGCCAGTGGGTACCCAGTTTGGACTGTCCCACCCCCAGTTCTCTTGAGTTACTGTCTTGAAGAGCTCCACCCCACCTCCGACCTGAGTTGGGGGTGGGGGATGTCAGCTTAAAGATGGGCAAGATGGGACTCCTCCAGCTTGGCTCTTCCCATTCTTTCATCGTCATGGAAACATGTGTCCCATTTGCCCAGGGAACTGCCACTCCTGGTTGCCATGGAAATAGCAGCCAATGGACACCTCCGGAAATCAGTGCTAAGACTGGAAATGGTCCCTCTTAGTTGCTGTGGGAACTTAGTAAGACTCTTGGCACCTCCCCTCTCCCCACCCCTTCCCTTCTTCCAGTGTGGGGGTGGGGTCTCAAGAGCCTGAGGGAGGAGTCAGGTCCAGGTCCCACTCAATTTAGGCCAGGGGGAACTGGATTGTACCACATGGGGGTGGGGGGAGGGGAATCTATCCACATACCTCAGGTAACAGGAAGGTGCGCGGGGTTGGGGGCGGGGGCTGGGCGGACCAAAGGCAGGAGGGGGGGCTGGGGTTGGAGAAAGGCTTGAGGATGGGGCCGCTTGCGGGAGGGGAGAAGGCACCCCGGCAAGGGGCAAGTGGGGGACCCAGCCGGGCTGGACCCCTAAACCCCCAAGTCTGTACAATACGGTTTGCTATAAAACTCAGAATCTTCTAGCCGGGGCCGCTGACTTCCTGTGTCTGTGTGAGCGGTGGGTGGGGATGGCGGAAGGGGCCCCTGCGGTCACTTGTGGGAAAGTGGGCCCGTTTTTCCCGAGATGGCTGTCGTAGGAGCGTGGGAGTCTGGACACCTGTGAGTGCCCAGGTACGTGTTGAGTGTTCCGAGGCCAGTGAGTTCCCAGACAGAGGCTGTGTGGGCGTTCACTGGGCTCGCAGTGCTTCGCAGGCAGCGGGATATTTTTGGTGACCTGGGTCCCGGGGGTCCCTTGAGATCCCTGCCCGCGGGCCGGACTGCGGGGTTCGGGCTCCCGGCTCCACCCAATCATGTGGTCACCGGGCTCCGCCCCCGCCCCAGTTCCTGTTTCGGCCCCCGGGCCTCGCAGACGCCGCGCTCTCCCGCCGGGCTGCTGCGCCGCGCAGGATGGGGTCCCGCCGGCGCTGGGGCCGTCCCTCGTCGGGGCCGCCGGGCGCCTCCGCCCCCCCGTGACCGCCCGCGCTCGTGCCGGAGCCGCGCTCAGGATGAAGGGCGGCGAGGGGGACGCGGGCGAACAGGCCCCGCTGAACCCGGAGGTGGACAGCCCCTCGGGCTCGGCCACGTACCGGGAGTTCGTGCACCGCGGCTACCTGGACCTCATGGGGGCCAGTCAGCACTCCCTGCGGGCGCTCAGCTGGCGCCGCCTCTACCTCAGCCGGGCTAAGCTCAAAGCCTCCAGCCGCACGTCCGCTCTGCTGTCGGGCTTCGCCATGGTGAGGGGCGGGCAGGGGCTGCCAGGGGTGGCTGAACTCGTGGTGGGTCGAGGAGCCAAGAAAATGGATCCTCGTTAAGTGCAGGACGGAACAAAGGGTTTCTTCAGGGTAAAGGAGGGAACGGAATCCCAAAGGACTAGAAAAAGCCGTTTATATCGGGGACGGGGTTGCAGTAGGCACGGCCCTAGGAATAGAAGCCGAGGAAGATCCGTCCCAGAGATGTCATGAAGAAGGGAGTGAAGAGGGCAGCAGGGCCAAACTGGTGCGGAGAAAGTCTTTTCTCGCCGAAGCGGCTTAGTTACCAAGTCCTCAAAAGTTGCGAGGCAAGTCAGAGCTGAGTGAGAGCTGAAGCCAACGAGGGCAAGGGGCTAGGGTATGTTAGAGTCACGCAGCCGAAGGCCTGTCCTCAGGAAGATAGCCCCAACCTCCCGAAGGCCCAGAGAATGCAAGAATTGCCAGGAAAAGTAAGGAAGCAGTAAGGAGGCTGCTGGGAAAGGAAGCTGATCGGGGAGCTAGCCGATAAGAGAGCCTGATAAACTGCAGGTGTGGGAGGATAATGTCAGCTAACGGTCCCAGCCAGTTGCCTCCGGAAGTGGGACTGAAGAAGATTCCAGAGTGCAGTCAGCAGATGTGTTCCGGTTCCTTCCGACTTATGGCCAGCTGTGCGACATCCCCCCCAAGCCGACCTCTACTCGTTGCCGTCAGTAGGAAGTTGGGAGGGCATAGAAGGTGTCTTTGTGGTTTGCCAAGCTTTTGTCCAGGGAGGGGGGAAGCTGGGATTCCTGTGGAGACCCCTAGAACTTAGGTGTGTCAGAGCAAGTCCCACCTAGCAAAGGAGGTTCAGAGCAATGTGCTAACTGGACTGGGTGGAAGCTGATGTTTTGATGAGGGCACTCAGCAGGGGAAGGGTGTGGATGAACGAACCTCTGCTGGTTTAAGCTCTCTCCACATGATTGGAGGGAGGAGAAAGCAGGCCTGAAGGGAGGGCATCCTTCAGAACAGTACCTATGGTCCGCTGGTGGAGGTGGCGCACACCTTTCTTTTACCAGCATCTGGGAGGCAAAGGCAGGCAGATCAGTAAAAGTTGGAGGCCAGCCTGGTCTACAGAGTGAGTTCCAGGACAGCCAAGGCCACACAGAGAAACCCTGTATTGGAATAATAATAATGTATCCTTGTGTAAGTAGACATTGGAGGGAGCTAACTAAAAGAAGTGACTTAGGTCAGCACATCCCTTTGATCTGCAATCTCAATGTCTGAATGAAAAATCTGTAACCCTAAAGGTTGCTCTCGGTCTATGGTGTTTATAAGGAGTCCCCAAAGCAACCCACTGCTCCTGATGAGGATGACATTGGACTGAATCGACTCCCCATCAGCACCACAGAAAGAAGGGCACAGTGACATCCAAAGGAACAGCCCAGTCTGCAGAAATTGCAGATCATTGGGGTGACAGCATAAGCAATAGGGCCTTCTCTGGAGAGCAACAGGCTGGGTGTATAGGTTCTGGGAACAGGGACTGGCCCCAGTCCTGACAAAGAGAAGGCAGGGTCGGACCCTGGGGGAAACCAGAATCTAGACTGGCCCAGATCCCTCTTTGTGAAACTGCCTGCCTACTATCTGCCATGGCCCAGTTTCCCAAAATACTCGTTTTTAGTTTTCTATCACTACTGTCTTCCTGCACCTTCCCTTTTGGCCTCAGAGTAATCTCAGGGATTCTTAACAGAAACGGGGCGGGGAGAGGGCCTCAAACACAGATGGCCTGAGTTACAATGACATACAAATTATATCCAAAGGCTGTGAATCTACCCTGGTTGGTAGAGTACCTACCATGCAGGAAATCCTAGATTCAGTTTCCAGCATACAACAGATATGGTAGAGCCCACCTGTAATCCTAGCGCTTGAAATAAAAATTAAAACAAACAAGAAAACAAAACAAGACTGTCCTTGGCTATACTGAGGGTTCAGGGCTAGCCTAGGCTCCATGTAAGCCTGTCTCAGCAACCATTCACCGCTCAGTACCCGGTACGGTGCTTCTGGAGTGGATGGCAGTTTTTCAGATGAGGTAGTAAGGTCTGAGATGCTGAGGTATCTAAGATAACACAGTAGGCTACGGGCAGGATTCTGACTCTAGCAGCCTCACTTTAGAGCCCAAATTTGACATCAACTCAAATGTTTGCTAAGTCCAGGCTGCCTGGGTGGAGCCCTATGGTTCAGACTCCCTGACCTGTCAAAAATGAACAGCCGTGACTCAGCCTGGATGGTTGCCATAGTTGAATGCAGAGCTGGTGTGACTAGATCTGCCAAATTCTTAGATTGATTTGGAAACATATGAAGCCTCTTGAATTCTGAGAGTGGCAGTTACTGTTTTTTGGTTTGTTTGTTTTTGAGACAGGGTTTCTCTGTGTAGCACTGGCTACCCTGGAACTTACAGAGATCTACCTGTCTCTGCCACCTGAGTGCTGGGATTAAAGGTGTGTGCCACCACCGAGTGGCCATGATTTTGTTTTTTGTTTTGTTTTCCGTTTTGTTTTGAAGTGCCTTGGACAATAACATCAACTGTAATGGTGCTTAGTCTGTCCTGGCTCCATTCGTAGCAGTTAATGTTTATTATCTAACTTAACTTTCTCAGTGAGCCTATTATCCCCACTTTTTTAGGTAGGAAATTGAGGGAGGCACTTGCCCAGCTCAAAGATTACACAGCTGGACAAGGTAGCGAATGACTGTAATCCTGCTCAGGACATTGAAGCAGGAGGGTAGTGAATTTGAGGCAAGTATGGAGTAATAAAAACTGTTGGGAGTGTATTACATTGTAGCACTTGCTTTGTCTGCTTGCTTGCTTTGGGACTTATGTGACTCTCCTCCCTTAGAGGTAGGTAGATAGGCTCTCTGTGTGGCCCTAGCTGGTTAACTCCCTAGTCCTGGGATTAAAGGCATGCGTAACTACACCCAGCACTTCCAGGTGCTTTTGAGATGAAGTTTCAATATGTAGCGTAGACTACTCTCAAACTTGAGATCCTCCTGTTACAGCTTCAATAATAAGCCTGTGTCAGCGCACCTGCCGGTGTGTGCTTTTTATTATTGGCAGGTTGGGAATTGAACCTAGAGTGGTGTGGACGCTAAACAAGGGCTCTGCCATTGAACTGTACCCCCAGCCCCTGAGTGTGCGTTTTAACCTGCATGTTGTAACCAGGTAAAAACTCAGAAAAAAAAATTCATACAGCATTCTATCTGCATGTGTGCCTATGCACCATCTCACCAGAGATGGTTGTGAGCCACCACGTGGGTGCTGGGAATTGAACTCAGGACCTTTGGAAGAACAGCCAGTGCTCTTAACCTCTGAGCCATCTCTCCAGCCCTGCCTCCCCCCATCTTAGCCTTTTAAAGAGTATGAGTAACTGCAAGGCAGGGTGGTTTAACCCAGCACTCAAGAAAGCTGAGGCAGGAGGATCACAAATTTCAACTCAACCTGGGCTGCCTAGCAAATTCCAGACTAGCCCTAAATTATAAGACACTACCAAGAAAGGGGGAAGGGGTATCTTGTAGGCACTGTTTTAGTGAGGGATGTTGCTATGGTACTAAGCAGGCAAAACAAATACCTGAGGGAGACCTAGGCTAGGACTCAATGTCTTCCCGCTTGTGCCCGCAGGTGGCGATGGTGGAGGTGCAGCTGGAGAATGATCATGACTACCCACCAGGCCTGCTAGTGGCATTCAGCGCCTGCACCACTGTGTTGGTAGCTGTGCACCTGTTTGCACTCATGGTCTCCACGTGTCTGCTGCCCCATATTGAAGCCGTGAGCAACATCCACAATCTCAACTCTGTCCACCAGTCACCACACCAGCGACTCCACCGATACGTGGAGCTGGCCTGGGGCTTCTCTACTGCCTTGGGCACCTTTCTCTTCCTCGCTGAAGTTGTTCTGGTGGGCTGGGTCAAGTTCGTGCCCATTGGGGCACCCATGGACAAGCCAGCTCCTGTGGTACCCATGTCCCAGGTGCCACCAGTGACTGTCTCCCTTAGTTTAGCTTCCAACCTCACACCATCCCCTGCTTCTAC